AATAATTCTAGTAGAGCAATAACTCACTTTCATCAGTTATTGCTTTACGAGTAGAGCAATAACGCAGTAGAGCAATAACTCACTTTTATTAGTTATAACTAGTGAAAGGTCTCAGGTTCGATTCCGGAAAACGGAATGATTGGTTCCAAAAGCTTCTTTTTTCGGAAAACCTAATTAATCTACTATATGCTCGAAATAATATGTAGCGGATAATAAGTTACTGCGATCTTGATTTTACTGATTCGGTCTCGACTCTTTCCTTGAATTGAGAAGAAACGGAGATATAAAAATTACACGAATCTCAAGTATTACGGAACTTTAAATTTCCGTAATACTTGTGATTCGTGCTTATATTCTACCTAGTTAGTGTTAGTAAATGTTATTAAAAGCATTCCTCCGTGCTGCTTTGTGATGTGTTAATGTTCTTATTTTAAATGCTAGTTTAATTTACATAACTAGATGAATTTAACTACAAACTGCTGGGAAATACAGGTAAACTGCTAATAGTACTTCTTGTTAATTATAATTTTTCCTCTTTTCTTTGTTTTTTACCTGTTATTGGATTATCCATAATTTTGGATTAACCGTAAACGTCGCTCGCGGTGTTACCAGCTCAATCAAATTATATGGTGTGATTAAATATCTTCTAAATCAATAAGAACAAGACGTACGGTAATAAAGCAATCATTTCGCGTTTGCAATAAACAGAATATCCTAGTAATTATTTATTAAGATCATATAAGGAAATTTATTATTAGCCTTAAAAATATGAAGATGAAATGAAAGAGGAAATTCAAAGTCAAATAAATGGGCTATAATATGAAGTTCATGAAATCACTAGAAAAAAAAAAAAAAAAAAAAAAAAAAATATGTTCAAAAGAAAACGTAAATCTCATTTGCATTAAATAACAAGTCGTAAATTAATACGTTTCAGTTACTATAATTTCTAATTTCGTTGAAACTTTTAGAAATTAAGCTGCCGTGTTTTCCCCGTGCGTGTTCTCGTGATGTAAGTGGTAACACTTCTGGCTATCAATCGTGAAATGAGTGATCGAATCCTAGAGAGAGCACAGCTCATACTTCACTTTTCTCCCACCTGCAACCTAATCGCCTCTACAAAGCATGCTTTACCAAAACACTTTTTTTAGCCCCTATTTAAATTTTATTTTCCTAGTCATAACATTTTTTATTTATTTATTTGTAAAAATTATTTTATATTAAAATTGCATGTCTAAATTTTTTACTTAAATTGTTCATTCTTAGACGATACTACATGGCAAACATAAATATTAACGAAAAACTCAGCATTCCTTTTGATCTGAATTTCTTTACCAAACACACAAATGCACAAGAACACACTATAAACTGTTATAAAAATAATAAGCTTTAAAGGTATTTCACGTTTAATTTTTGCAATGTAATAAATTAAGAAGAAAAAAGATTATAAATCAACTGTTTATGACATATAATCTTTATTTTGGCTTCTTAATATTTGAACCAAAGACAAAATAATTAATTATCAAAACACAAAAAAATGTGTTAAAGCATATTTAATTACTACAGTTTTATCCACCAGTTTTTGCAGCTTCCATGGAAATTTTATTAAAAATTAAGCTTACCATGCATATGAGGCATTTGATTCCATCTTCCATCTGATCTTTGGGATTGTCGCCATTGGCATCTTTGCCGGGCTTGGAACTCTTCTCCGATGGTGAAATACACTCACTGTAGGGAAAAAAAAAAAAAAAAAGGTGCCGTGATAAAAACCGTAACAAACGAAAGCATATTACATTTGGTTTTTAACATTTCAAACTTAAACATTATTGTTAATGCTCAGACGAATTGTTTTATTAGTTCGACGAACTACTTATTTCTTAGGTCTTATGGACGTTCTTATTGTCTTCCCTAGGTGCAATATAAATAGGTGTCAGTTCTCTTTAGCAAGAACTCTATTGCGTACTTTGCACTAATCTATTAAACAAACCAGCGACTGCAATAACGTATAGATAGAAACGATATCGCTCTACAATACAATACTCAAGAGGTAACGCCGGGAGACTTAATTTGGTAAATTTTTATGAATTTTTTAAAAAATTACAAAAAATGACCTTGCCTTAAAAAAAAACTTATTTTTATAATCAATACTTAGAGAAAATGTTTTTGATAAAATGCGTGTAGCATCTGGTTTAAATTACCATGAAAATATTTTGCACTTTTTTGAGGAATTATTCCATCATTCGCATATGCGCTGTTGTAGTGTGAATGGTTGACTCATCTAACTAGCTGCTAGATGATCCTGACAACAACGCAATTTATTTTTTGATGGTTCTTGGTCAAAAAGACCAGTCGTCTCTACAGTGGCACACGGACTAAAATGTTGAAGATAACTAGTCACCACTTGATTTGGTGGACTAGACTCATACTTCTCCCGTTCCCCCTTTAAGTACGTGAGAATATAAATATTTATTATATTTCTCCGTACGCTCTCTTGTGGTGTAACATCCTGCTAGCGATACGGTTCAAGTATCCGTGTTCCGGATCCTGGAGAAAGTATAGTTTCACGTTTTTCGTTTTGAAAACCCAGTCACCCCTTCAGTACTGTAGAGAATCTTAAGCCCCCCTCCATCATTGGAGACGGGGGATGTAAGAAATCAACCCTGCACTTGCCAGGTCATCCGAACCACGGATTTTTCATTCGCTAGTAAAACAGATTAACCGTTAAGATTAGAATGAAATACTTAACCCTTTGCGGCACAGTGTGTCCGGTCTGGACACACCTAAAAATTTCCTTCGGTACGCACAGAAAAATTGAATGAAAAAAGATTTATAGGTTACTAAAGGTTACTTTGAAACTTCTTTATTTATAGTAGATGGCAGATCAACATAAACTAGTCCATATATTTTAAGACTCTCATTTTTCAAAGAAATCTTTCAGATTTTTTTAGGGTATAAAAGGAATTCTTTGAAAAGAAATTTCTATGTTATTTTTTTGGCTGTATGCTAATCTTCTTATTCTATATTAGTTTTAAATTTTTACCTTGAAATCTTGCTTAAAATCAAACGGCGAATTCTAGGTGAACCGAGAGTCTTTATTCTTTGTTTCTACGCATCTCGTCGGTCAGTTCATTGACAACAATGCTCGTTTCAGCACTCTTTTCTAAGCTCTATTCAATCAGTGTGCCCACTTAGGCACCCCCACAGAATTAAAACGATAAGCGCTATCTTCACAAAATTTTACTTGCGTACTCCTCTAGGCCTAATTAGAGTGCCTAACTTTTTTTTTATCAAAACTTCGACTTTAAAAGGTAGCGTGCCGGAAAGGGTTAATCAAAAAGAAATGAAACTGCAAAAATTTACGCTCTTCCACTAAGTACTCTGGACAAGAAAATGCTCACGGAATCATAAAAGTATCTGAGACAATAAGGGGTATCTTCAAAATATGCATAAGTATCTTCAAATATCTGAGACATTTGAAGCACGGATTTTAGAAGTATAGCCACTCGTATAAATTAAATTAGTATATTATGAAGGCAAAGCATTTAAAAGTTATTTATCTTACAAGGCATGAGGTTTATGAAGAGACGCTTTGCAAGGAAAAATGGTAAGTGTATACGTTGTTTATAACTAAAACCCTACATAATCAGACCTTTTCAGGCACCAAATAACGAACTCAAGATAAGAAGTTGTATAATAACTGTAAGTATATAAATCGGAGCAAAGTATAAATTTTATTGCATGCAAATGAATACGAATTGAGAAACAATTTTGTAATAATAATTACAACGAACAAAAGTAAAACTTTTAGAATTTATCTTAGGTTCTCCTATAAGTTTTTTCTGTATTATCGATGCAAATTTCACTTAGAATAGATAATATTTACGTCAACTTTCAACACTAAGCTGCCCTACATCATGCTAGATTTTAATCTGCATAAAAGAGAACACTCTTCTAAAACTCGCTATTAAGTGGTGTATTTAATTATGGCAAAGCACACTAGGGCTATCTGCCTAAGGGGAGGGATGCCTTCGTGGAGGACTTTCTAAGGGAAACTGGCTCGTATACACGTTACACATGGGGAAAACCACGAAAACGCCCATGCAGCCAGCCCGTTCGCGGGATTCGAACCTCGGACCGAACTACCAGTGTTCAGCGACTTTACCGCTCGGCCGCTGGTGGGCAACTCGCTATTAAATTTAATTAATTTCCAATGCCATTAATGAAAGGCATATTTTTAAAAAAGCAGTTCCTAATAGATTATTAATTACTCCCGTTCTTAATCACTCCTCTGGAAAGAGATAGATACAAGGTGCTGATAAATTAAATCTTAATTAAATACGTTTATTTTATTTTTATCTTAATTTATAGCTTTATTTTTATAATTAATTCAATAATGTTTTCTTTGTAATTTAATTAACAACTATTCTTAATTATAATTTAATTATTAATTTTATTTTTACCTTGCATCATTATTGCTCACACAGGTACTTGTGACTTCTTGCCCTTCTCCGTTATTGTTTCCTGTGAAAAATGCATAAAATATTTGTAAAATTAAAAAACGGAATCACCATGCAATCCATATTTATTTAGAAATGCAATACATTGCTTGGAAATGCAGAAGAAGTTTATTAACTTACCTCCATTAACTGTCCATTGAGATGATTCAGAATGCCTCTGATAATTCGATTCACTAAAAATTAATGAAATTTATAAATTATGGTGAAAAATGTAGTTTATAATCTTTTAAAATAATTTAAGAACTCTTGCAATATATACAAAATAAAACTCAAATTTAATTTGTGAAAAGTTCAAGTAAATATCAACATGTTAAATTTAGACGTATTTGCACATATACCACAGACAGGTCTTCACAATTACTGTTCATGCAGGCATCAATAAAAATGAGAAATAATTTGCAAAGTAAAATAATTCCCAATATTAAGTCCAAATACAAAATCCAACTATAACTTGTTATTTATTTGAAGCTTTCATTTCCAAGTGACAAGCGTGTGAGTAAAGTTTACTTTTTCGGTTATTATATGCATATGCAATTGCTGTTTTACCGACGTTAAATATCTGGTATTTCAATGCAGCACAAAATAGAAATTGTAGCAAAATCTAGTGTTAAAATTATCGTATTAACTTGCTTGAACAATCTAATGTAGACACGACATGACTTCCTTTTACGGCCTGTTAAATTATACGCACTTCTTGTTGCATTTCTTAAATTTACACTCATGTCCATAAATTAAGGATAATTCGGAGTCAAGCGGAAATCGAACTCTAAAATAAATATAGCACCTGTAAAATCACTACACACATCTTCAAGAATCATATGCAAATTTTAGGAAGTAACCAGATGACACCGATGGTACGACACAATGACGAGAGTGTAAGAGAGTGATATTTAAGGAATACAGGCAAAGAAGTAAAATTGTTCGCAGGCGCTATATAAGAATTTCAGTGCAATAACCGAATAGTTATGATACAAAAGACGAATTTGGATGATTTTTTACGTGGTACGATTATCATCCGTCTGGAATGTGGGCGTATCCAACTAGAAGTATCAGACGAACTTGGAATTGCCCAGAGTGTCATCTCCAGGCTTTGGTAACGATTCCAAGATGACGATAAGGTGAGTAGACGTTACAGCACAGGTCGCCCCAGAGTTACAACGCCGAATGAGGACCGGTATTTGGCAGTTACAAGCATCGTAAGTGAATGCCTTCAATCGGAAGATATCACCCGTATGGACTGGCCAGCATTCTCACCGACTTGAATCCAGTAGAGCACGTGTGGGACATGCTTGGCCGACGAGTTGCAGCTCGTCAACCTCCTCCTACATGTCTACCGGAAATTCGGAGAGCATTGCTTTTTGAGTGGTTTAATATCGCCCAAGATCAGATCGATAGTTTGATACTCAGCATGCCTAGGCGTTGTACGGACTGTATTGCATCGTCTGGGAGACATACCATGTATTAGCAATCATACCAACCATGTAATATTGGTTTTTTTGTAAATAGTTTTTTTTTTTTTTTTTTTTTTTTTTTTTTTTGTAATTTGCTCCAGGGAGAAGAAATCGCTAATTTTTTTAATAATATCAAACATATAGCATCTTTTTTTGCTCTTTACCTTTTGTTTAATAAATAAGCTTTACAAATAAGTCAAATTTGTTTTGCTTCTAACTCTTCCTTTGCCAGATTTTGCATTATCCTTAATTTATGGACATGAGTGTATTTCCTCGAATTATTCTAAATTAATTAATCGATCCTAGGAAATTATCTCCTAGGAAATTCGAAGTGAAATTTAGAACGCAGAAAAGTGTTATTGGGGTCAAAAATGGCAAAATTGATGCATTTTTGAATGCTAATTTGAATGCTAATATACACTGTTGTGAAAAAATAAAAAAAAAAAAAAAAAAAAAGTAGAATAAAATATTTATGAAAGTATGAAAGTTAATATGCACTATTGTGGAAAATTAAAAGAAAAACAGTAGAATAAATAATGTATATACATATACACTGACTACCAATAAGTATTTGGACACCTATGCAAATGATGATATCTGCGGTTCTAAGGTACGTCACGGACTCCGCCGGTATATATCGTGTAGGAAACAGCATCGGCTTTAGTCGCATGCAAGATGCCTCGCAGTTCGGAGCTCTCTGATTTCGAGAAAGGTATAATTATCGGGTATCACAAATGTGGCCGATCCTTAAGGGACATATCTAGCGATCCGAAGTACCCAAAATCGACAGTGGCCTATGTGATTAAGAAATGGAATGTGAACGGTGATTGTCGGAATGTGCCCTGAGTCGGTAGACCAACAAAACTGGGGGATAGAGACCGACGAGTGCTGTCCAGAGAAATTCGGAAGAACCGCACCCAACCGATGGCCCTCATCCGCGAGGAGTTTCAACAGGCATCCTGGAGTATTGTTTCAATGAATATTACCCGTAAGGAAGCACATCTGCTTGGTTTTCATGGTCGTGCTGCTGCCCATAAGCCTTTGATCACAAAGTCCAACCGCAATGCTCGGTTAATGTGGTGGAAAGCACATCGAAAGTGGACCGTAGAGATCAGTGGAAACGGGTTCTTTGGAGTGACGAATCAAGGTTCACCCTTTACCGTTTGGATGGCAGGGTCTGGGTCTGGCGTCTACCTGGAGAACGTCTCCTGCCAGAATGCATTGTGCCAACAGTCAAGTTCGGCGGAGGTGGAATTATGGTCTGGGGTATTTCTCCTGTTATGGGCTGGGACCTTCGGTCCCTATTCATGGTAAGCTCAACTCCGATGCCTACTGCACTATTTTGGATGACAGTGTGTTTCCTCCGTTGTGGCAGTTTTACGGGTTGGTCCCCTGTTACTTTCAGGACGACAATGCCAGTTGTCATGTTTCGACGTTAACCAAGGCTTGGTATGGTGCAATGGAGTTCATCGAATGGACTGGTCTGCCCAGAGTCCAGACCTGAACTCTATCGAGAACCTCTGGGACGAGTTGCATCGCCGAATTCAGGGGTGCACTACCCGTGCAAAATCGATGAAGGAACTTCTATGTCTTCTCCAAGCCAAGTGAAAGAAAATACCACTAGCTGTCATACAAAGACTTGTGGAAAGTATGCCCCGGAGGGTCCACGCTGTAATTACCTCTCGTGGAGGCTCTACCAACTATTGATTTTGAATAAAGTTAGTTTTTCTTTTCTATCACCAAGTGTCCAAATACTTATTGGTAGTCAATGTATACGTTTTATACATATATATATATATATACATACACAGACTTTTAATACTGCCTGTTAAAACAAAAAAAGGGAATTGCACAACTAGATATTATAGCAGTCCCATGTACAAAATTTCAGTGTTCTACGGCTAATCGTTTTTTGAGTTATATGAAATATTTACTTATGTACAGATGTCACGAAAAAAAGTCAATTTTGAAATTCATTTCGGAATAAAGCGTTTTTTATTCCGTACGTACGCAGAGACGTCAAGGGAAAACAATAGTCAGAGTGGATTTGGGAAATTTTACTTCTTACAAGGAAGTAGAAAGAAAGAACTATATCAGCTTGGATGAAACATATAAAAATTTCGCAACCGTTTTCGCTAAGGATTTGATGTTGTATGCTTTTATAGTTAAAACATACATGATATTTTATAGAAATATATTCCGAATTTATTTTATAATTATACATTATAGCATCTTTTATCTTTTCAGTGTCTTTGCGCAAATGTAATTTTTCTTAGCTTATCACAAAACATTTTTATTGTTACTAGGTTTGTAAAAGAAATAATATCACGTACTTAGCCTGTATTCTTCTTATTTGATCTTTACTGTCAGCGTTGTCCTCCGTAGAGCACGTTATCACATCAGCTTCCGTATAACTACAGGCACGGTCAAGGAATATTACATTGTTCTGTTTAACGTAGCTATAATATCTGTACGCCATTATTTTTTATAATACTATAAATAAGAGAGAAAAGTTAAATAGATTTTATAACCGATTAAAAAGGATACTGAGGTTGCCCATACGTTGCACTGTCATCTCCGTCAACGTTGAGTTCTTGATTTTCGTCCTCTGCAACTTCAAATTTTCTTGCAGCATATTCTACAGGAAAACAATACATGAATAAGCATAAATTTGAAGAAATTTCATCATCACTATTATAACGTTATCTTATTATATCTATGACTTATCTCACTTATCTTCTAGTGACATCAGATCAAATGCAAGAATTTTATCGTGGCCAACAGGCAATGATTGCGCCTACCATTGGCTTAGACCTTGCGCAGCTTATAAGTGACAGTACGAGCTAGTACACATCCGCCACAGTTTTGAGGGAGAATCCCTGGGTGGATGGATCCGAGGGTTTTCCATGCCTGCTTAACTTCTATCAACGTCGCCAGAGAACGTTTCACTGGCCAGTATTCTAAATTCCCAGTTATACACTTACAAATATCCGCGCATTCGTCGGGTTTCAAAACCAGACCCAAGGCTATGACAGCAGATTTCTTTATCACCGTACTAACAGAGCAACTTCTCATGTTTTACTTTTAGCAACATGTTAAGAAATCGATGTTGGAGATCTGTAGAATAAAAATTATGGGAAACATGTTGTATTTAATCTCGCGGTAAGTTGGTTGCAATTCAGTGCTTTCGAATCTAAGCTAGACTGACTGAATTTGCGAATTTGCACGGATCGTCAAAGACGCAATAGTACTAATCTGTCTTACTGTCTCTGAATCCGTTATGAAGTTTTGGCTTTATGCTGTCTCTCAGATATTACAGAAATTCGTTAGTGCATGTTTAGTGTGTTCGTCAGGATGTGTTTTACGCACAGCGCTCAAAAAGAAATACTTTTTTTTTTAAGTTTGTAAAACGTTAAATAAAAAATAAGATCTTTTTAATTTAAGGCATATAGCTTCGGTAATTATTCTGCATGACACTGAAGTATTCTCCGTAACGGAAGAATGTTGTTTACGTTATTTTCCGTTCTCTTTTTTGTTTGTTTGTTTGTTACAAAAGCACCTTCTATCCAAAAATTACTTTAATATTTAGTTTGCTTTGGTTTGATAGAATATAGCACAGCACACTTTAGCTATCTGCCTAAGGGGAAGGGATGACCTCGTGGAATATTTTCTAAGGGAAACTGGCTAGTATACACGTTGCCTATGGCAAAAACCTGGAAAAGCCAACTCGTTCGTCTGGAATCGAACCAGGTCGGCACTAGCAGCGTTCAGCGATTCTACCGCTCCGACAGTTTCAATTTTGGGAGAACAGGAGCATTAGAAGTTAAGATCGAAACTATAAGATATGTGCTACAAAACTTCACACCAAAATTTGCATTCATTGAACCGCAGTAGCAGCTGTTGTGAATCTACTGCGAGATGTGTCTGGGCATTGTCAAGAAAGATTGTCAATTTCTATCACAAAAAAACTGAATCGAAGCTTTGGAGCTTTTACATCCTCTATAATATCTTAGAGTTCATAATAAATCCATATCAAAACCTTGTGCATATTGTTACGAAACGTACAGGCGCGGTGAGATGGCTTCCCCGCAAAGCAGTTTTAGGGTTGCCATAAAGTGTCAAGGGAAGGCAGGGTTGCCACATTTGGCGACATTTGGCGATATGCCATGGACTGATGGAGAACCTTCTAGAACGAATTCTTACCGGTTTAGCCCAGAATGTTCTCGAACACAAGTCGAAAGCTATATAAACCCTGCTGGTCCGCAGTCAGGTAGTGTGTGTGCCTCGCATAGAGTGTGAGATTGTTAGTATCGAGTGCGTCTCGTCTAGCGAGTCAATCCCTGCGGAGTCGATCGAGTTGACAGCCGGGCAGCGAGTGCCGAGTGGGTCGTCGAGTGAATCGAGAGAGTCTTTTAGTGCATCGTCGAGAGAGCGTGTTGAGCTCCGGGAACGACTGAACCGAAGAGTCGGGAGCTGTGCTCGTGTGTCGTCGAGTGCATCGCGAGTTGTAGCGTGGAGAGTCTCGAGAGTACGTGGAGTTCCGAGAACGACCAAGCAGAGTCGGGAGCTGTACTCCGGAAAGCAGAGTCGGGTGCTTTGCAGGAAGCTGTCTCCACCCTTATTGCTTGACAGTGTGAAGGCTGTGTCGCTGATTGTTCCAGCGTGTTTATAGTAGATCTTCGAAGACTGTAAAAAGTGTTATTGGAGCTGTCCTGATTAATATTGATAAATAAAGTGTGTTTCGATACTTCATCTGAGTGTCGTAGTTATTCACTTCAAATCTACGATCCCCGTACGAACGTGAAGGAAGAAAATAACGTAACAACTGGTGTCAGAAAAGAAAAACGCAACAATATCAATTTTAATTGAAAGAATTTAAAATTTACAGTGGCTTGCGTAAAAAAATACACTGCACTTACCAGGAAGCGCCCTTTGCAGTGTCGCAATAGCGTGAAGTCTAGCTGTGACAGCCCAGTTAAAATCAGCCGCCGTCCGACTGTCTATAGAGGTTTCTGGTTCAAGTTCCTGGCTTTCTCTCTAAAGAAAGAAAATTCGATTAAATCGTTCCAGGAAGAATGAAAAATCCTAATAAAAATAAGAATCATGAAATAAGATTAATAATGCATACTCATTCTAGCTTCAAAAGAAATTATTGTCTTCTGGATTTCAAGCCTTACGTTTTGGAGTTAAGAACCAGATTTTTTTTCTTGCAATGATACTATCATTTACAGTTGTATGTTTATAATGAGTTTAACCTTTTCCTGAGGGCTGGGACATATATGTCTCACACATTTACTATATTCAATGAGGCTTTATGATGGATATTTAAAATTTGGGTACTTTTCTGTTTCGCCGGCGCAAATGTCGCCAAGCTAACTTTGTTGGCGAACAAATGTTAGTTCTAAGAATTTTTTTATTTTGAAGGCATAAACATTTTAATATGGTTTAAAATTTTGTAAAAAGGCCTGTAAATAAAGGCAATAAATTTGTAAAAATACATTAATTTAAAATTTACCATGCTTTCATGGTTCAACATCCTGATTCCCCGGTTCGTATCACGTGACCCAAGTGATCTCATCTCACGTAAACTACGCTACAAAAAACTAACTCTTTCAGTAATTATCTACATTAATTTCAAGTTAAATCTTAATTTGGAATAAATGCATGAATGCAAGAATATAATGCAAAGTTTAAAATAAGTTTAAATGCAAGAATTATTTCAATTCGTACGAATAAGCTTACTCAAAAATTATGTAAAACCGCATTGCTTTACTTCGCTAGTGCATTCCCATTAGAAATGATGAATTTAACCCTTGATTTTGCCTTTTCTATATTTTCGCCTTCTGGTGAGCGGTGTGATTGAATCCTAATTGATTTAATTACCGCGAATGGTCTTAGGGCATAAAATTTAACTATCTAGGCAAAAATTCTATGTAATTGCATGCCAGTATTAAAAGAAATGATCAATCTGATAAGAAATGGCTGCGACTTGTTTTGAAAATGAAGCGTAAAAGGTTGCCAGCGAAGATATTCCATTTGGCATCAGTTGTACCATTATTGGCGACTTTCTCGTTTGCGCCGGCAAAACGGAAAAGTACCAAAATTTGTTACTTAATGTGCAGCAGGAGATGTCCTATCCTGCTGATATGTTTTTCTGTTCCTTTCTAACTGAATACTTGACTATGTTATAGGGTAATTCTCTCACTTTCTTAGCATGCCTTCGTGGTGTAGTGGTCAGCACACTCGGCGTGTTCTCGAGAGGTCCGAGATTCGAGTTCCGGCGAGGGCATTGCTCAGTTTTCACATCTTCTACTTCGAAATAACCTAATGTCTCTACAATATGACTTTAATATATATATATGTGTGATGTACCAGCTTTTGTCAGGAATAAATAGATTGTTGAAGAATCATAAATGCAGTCGTAGCTTGAATTATCAGACGATAAGTTTAAAAAAACAGGATCCATTTATTATTATTCAGGAGAAAATAGCATTTACAAAATCAGATATCCGGAGTAAATAAAAAGAATTACTAATAACTTTTTGTATGAAGTTTACTGCATCGTGACATTTAAGAAAAAGCCCCAGGATATTCCTTTGCGACTCCTTTTATAGCCTCTGGAAAGGCGGAGCTTCCAAGAAATGACGTCAGCCTCGTCAGCCAATCCAGTTCGCTTTAAATATCTCCAGAACATTCTAAAAACTGTACGTGTAGAAAAGGCGGGAAAAACAACTTGACTACGGGGCTGTGGATTTAATTCCACGTACTTTCAAATAAGAGAACGTCGCCATTAAAAATGAAAAGAACATACAGTTAGAATTTTAAGTGTATTCTTGACTATGGAATTTTATTATTACATATATATATAATAATCTCTGTAGCCCACGTAAAAAAGGTTAATACATCTATGGGAGGGATGGTGAAATTACCCAAGTTTCTTTCAATTTATTAGAACAAATAATTTTGAATTTTTCCATTTTCGTAATGATGTTGCGTTGGATAATTTAAGGCAAAGACGATTTTCTACATGCAGTCTTCCTTTGTTTAAGCTAATTTTCTCCAAAAACAAAACTCCAAAACATTTCATTGTTGTCATAAGTGAAAATAATTTGAGCTGTCAAATAACAACCGTGCTGAATATAAATACTTCAAAAAGAAGTCGATGGTAGTTATTTTGCAGTACATGATTAAAGATTTTTACTAATATATTGTCTAGTAATAAGTATGATTATGCTGGAATCAAGATACTTACAACATATTTCATTTGAATTTTTTCTCATTATCCATTTGAAATCGAAATGGTAATTATAGCAACATGAAAAATAGAAAAACATATAAACTATTGAAATTGCAGTACTAACCTTTCTGAGACCAGGAGGTAAAAGATGCATTGTTTCTTCTTGCGAGCGATCTGGGCAGCTCGGGTCATCCCATTTCTTCCTTTTTATGACGCATCGAGCTGCTTGAGAATGTCAAAAAGTAAGATATAGTTCATTTATAGCATGTCTATGCATACTATAACAACCTTTATTTTACTAAAAGTACAACCTTTATTTTACTTTAAATATAAAGACAAAAATAAATAAATAAAATAAAATTTGAAAGCTTTCAAATTTTGCATTACGCCCAAACGGACTTACAGACACATACCTGTTTCAAGAACATTTGGACTAATGCCAAATTGGGCTAAAAATATTCAAAAACTGCATATCTTTAGAATTTCCGATAGACAGTCTCGCGCAATAGAGATAAAAATGTTTTTATTAATTACAGTGTTGCCTTTGCTCGCTTTGAAATTGCTGAATTTTTTCATCAAAAATTCTTTAAAGTTTTACAAAATATGCGATAGACAGTAAAACAAATTCCAAATTCGGCTTCCAGGCGTCCTTCAAAATTTGATGACTCTAGGTACCGTTATTTTTTAACAATGCGAGAAACATGCATACATTCATGTAGTTTCTTTATTATTTAGTTTCTTTAAATATAATACAAGGCGATAATATTTATTAGCAACAAGTTGAAAAGTGATTCGACCCAAAATTTCGTTTTGAGACTAATAGCCCTTCTGGGCTAAAAACAGAAAAGAAAACGCTAGATTCTTGATCCGATTTCTTACAAAGTTTGAGAAGTACTTCGTTGTTAAAGTGGCAACGATAAACATTGGCAACATTTGACATTTGCCAGTTTCAGGGATTAAGCCCAGTTATATCTTTAAAAAAGAAATACCGTTTAAATTATTAAACATTAGTTTTTTGGTCTTGAGTTTTTATGAGAAAAATTCTTTACTGCACAAAGAAATTTCTTTGATAATTAAAATTCGAAATCTTTAAAAATAACTTTTTTTTCCCCATATTTTTAACACTCCCTTCAGAATTTATATGCAGCTTGTATTAAAAAATATAATACCATAGCATCACGCATAAAAGACAAATTTTTATTTAATAGGCTTTACAATATAATATTTAAATAGGCTTAAATATTTAATATGCATTGTTTTGTGGATTAGGAAAAATAACTTCATTGTGTTTTATCATATTCTGTGCTTTTGTTTCAACGATACGATTACTCGAGTCATCACATCGTAAAAACATAAGCACGATTTGATACAATTGAACTTTTTTAATAATATGAGAGTATTTATTCTGTGTTCTGGTAATCAATTTAATTATTTAATTCTACCGTCTAATCATAGCTCGAAATTTATATCTGGAATATGCATTTAAAAGTTATATTTTAAATATGTTTAGCAGTTCTAAAATTGTTTGATGTACTTTTTTAATTGCGTGTAGAAAAGCGGAATATTAGCTACTCAAATGTAAAACGGTGAATAAAAGTTGTAAGGATTATGTTAATTTTATTAACAGTTAAATTTTAAGTTCCTTTCCTGTCAAATTCTTAACTTCAACTTACTACTTCCGGCCAGAACGTAGTTTTGGAATTTGCTGAATATTTAATGAGAAGAAGCAGTATTTAAACCACGAAGTTACTTACCGAGACAGAGAGAGAAACAGAGTTTCTGAACTACGCGCGTCTGCCTTTTTGGCCGCTCTCTCTCTCTCTCAAAACTGTTATACGCTCGGCCGTACTCAGGCCCTTGCTAAGCTTCGTAGTAAAATAGGTTAAGGGACCAACTCTCATTGTACCTTGATAGCTTTGGCTATACTTAGTTAGTTAATCTTAGTTTTAGTTTAATTCTTAGTCTTTTAAGTTCAAGTCCAAAGTGCGGACTTTATTTGTTCACTCCCAGGCGGTTAGAGTCCTCCACGAAGGCATCCCTCCCCTTAGGCAGATAGCCCTAGTGTGCTTTGCCATAATTAAATACACCACCACACCACCACCACCCAGGCGGAGTTTTTGTTAAATCTTATAGAAATAATAAAGGGTTATTTACCCTTCTCTCTTGTTGTTTCCTGTCTTCGAACTCTAGCGATTATTCGCTTATCAGTTCCTAGGTTCCTCACTTCCAACATTAACTTAGAATTTCAAGTGAGGGACCTTACAAAATAATTAAATTATAGAAAGAAAATGACTACCTCGATTAGCATCTTAGCGATCTCTCGATTAGCGATTAGGAAATAGACTAGCATCATTATCCGGTGAAGTATATCCGGTTCGTACGCGGAATTATTTGAGAATAAAGCTAGTGACCAAAGGATCACATTGAAAATTTCATTTAATTTCTACTACCGCTGTTTTTACGTTTATTCTACTCCATAAGAAAAATTTTGAATCAACTGTACTGAAGTTTTAATCTGATATACACAAGTCATTACGCTACGCGTCTTTCTTGCAGTATAAAAGAAATAGAAAATAGTTATATATTTCAAATAATGAATCCTCAACTTAACGCATTATATGGTATTATTCGCCCCATAATTATAAAAAGATGTTATTTCTATTTTCTTTACTAAGTTTAAAAGTCTTCCCATTTTCTAATCGATAATTTTCTGTTCATTTACCGTAGCAGTTATCTTAAAATATGCATGTTTAGTGGTTGTCAAATTTATTCGAGTAGCGAATTTAATACAGAGAATGAAAATAGATGTTTACTTACATGTCAGCCTGTTTGTGCGATTGCCTTTGACCCTTTGATATGTCTGAAAGCAAATTTAAAATAACAGGGAATCATATTTTGCAATGAATAATTATAAATTAAACAGAGAAAAAAAATTTAAATTCCTATTTCTAAACAAGTTAAATATCTAATGCAAGAAATTTTGAAATCAAAGATCAATTAGAAACTGCATGGAAATTTGAATGAATGTTATAAAACTACACCAAATACATGGACTTGGCGGAAAGAATTTTGTAAAAATTTGTTATCGATTATTTTGAATTATTTCTGAGTTCTCTTCAAATTACCAAGCATCTTTTATTATAGCATAAACAGTAAAATCCTTTTCTGGCATTCCAAAATATAGTCGGATACATTTATTTTGTATTCAAACGAAAGTGAACAGTAGCCATGAAACCGACATAAAAATTACTTAATCACCTTATAAATGTTATAATAATTCTATGAACTGCTTGATTTAGATGATACTTCGTAAGTTCAGTTTGTTGAAAAAAATGTTGATTTGAGCAGAATGTGAAAAATCATATGCATAATTATTCTTCGTAAGAAAATAAACTTTAATTTTTTAATACTAAAATTATCATCGAGCATCATATCAATAAAATAATAACTTATAATGTTAAAACTATAAGGAAAAGTAGTAAAGAATTGCTTTTTATTGAAAAAAAAAAGGTTATTATACTACACAGTAGAAATAAACAGTAAAAACTTATACACCTTTTTTATAGACAAAATTTTTAGATAAGAGACCCTTCGATAAAATATTAATAAATCCAGAATAGAAATAGTTGCTGATAAGGGGAAAGCAACTGAAAAAGTTCGGAGCTCAAAATGTTAATTTCGTTACCTTTCTCTAACATATTTTAGAAAATTGTTTGTAAGTATCAGTTTAAATTCGATAGCATTTGAAATGCTATTGTTGGAATTCCATTTTTTAGAGAACCTTAAAACCAGAGAACATGTTTGAGATTTAAATCATTTATCAGTTATCTACGACGAAGGTCGATTATTTACGACATACTTTATTTGCAGAATCATCAGACGTATCATGGAGCAGGAAACGTGGGCCCTCCCGACAGCAAAACAGATGCTTCCGATTATGCCACAAAGGTATAAGGTAGGGAAGGAGAAAATTCCTAACAAGTTTAGCATGCAATTTATGATGTAGAGATTCAAATATTGCCCAGTTTAATGAAATTAAATTTTAAAAATGCAAAGATACAGACAAAACAAAAAAAGTGCAAATAAATTTTCGGCTAATCTTTGGAATATGGTAACAGGTAGTTTGGCGAAATTTCGGTAAGGCGATAAAGATTACTAGCTAGGATTTTAGCAGTGTACATGGATAAAGTCAAGAGTGTGCGCAATGCCATTTTTGTGCAATTCTGGGATTTTTTTTATGTGAAAATAGGTCGACGTGTACATGGATGATACCGTGTATGTATAATTCTTAAAAACGCGGCAAGCAGTGGGCGATTCTGCACTTTGTCCCAATTTCACACCTAATCTTCGTCATGATTAAGCACTTTTGTTTTTGTTCCATAAAAGTCCTAGCGTAAGCGTAATTCGGCTAGCAGATTGTTGGAAAAAAGTGTTGAGTAAAAAAGCATGCCTTTACTTCGGGAAAAACAAAAATGGCGTCCAAACAAAAACTAGCAAATTGCTGTAGCAATGTTGGTCGCCAAATAATCGCCAAGTTACCATAATCCAAAGATTAACCAAATTTTCTACCAAATATAAGTCTAAATTTTTATTCGAAAAAAAATAATGTTACTAATTTTTGCATCCAACGTTTATGTTGCAAAAATTAAAATAATAATAATAATAATAATTAATTAGCTACTGTATTTGAAGAGGGGGGATAAGTCATCCAAATTTAGTTTCTATTTTCAATTTAATGCCTTATTAATTAGTAACATTCGTATTTTTTTCAGCTTCAGCTACAGTTAATTAGAAAATCTTAACGCAAGTTTTATTTCATATAGGAAAGCATCGCTTACCTCCCACCTGGATTCGGGTTTTCCTTTGTCATCTTTCCTTACCATGCATAGAGGAGAAGAAAAGGGCTAAATAGAACAGAAAAACCTTAGTTTAAATGGAGTAAAATTCCATAATTAGCATTATTATTATAAAAGTAATTACAGCGGCAAATAGATAAATAAACAAAGTTCGGAATTTAGTGGATCCAAATTAAGACTTCTTCAAAATACGGGACACAAAATGGTTTCGCAGTTTCGGATTTCCAAAAGTTTATATCCGAATCTTTGCAAAATTTTTGGATCATTCATTAACTTTGCGATTATAGCATTTCTTCTTTTAATATATCTCACATGTGGTCGCATACCAGTTCTCTTAGTGCTAAAAGTACAGCGTTGATTACGTATATTTTATGTCTCTTATATTTAGTTCCCCTTGGCATGTCATGTGTTACCAATCTTCATAGTGTTGCTATTCAGCAAAAGGTAAAATATTTGATTTATTTTTCGAATTTAAGCCATCTGAAATTGCCTGAAAAAACTGAACGATTTAAAAGCAATATTCGAAATTCTTAGTAATTAGATGCTAATTTTGTATTTTAATAAAATACCTGATTATTAAAAATTAAAATACTTGCATCGTTTATAATTAGATAATCAAAAAATGTTTCGAACGCCCTATAATTACGTGCCTGGTGTACAGATTATTCTTCGGTAGACCTTCCAGATGTTATATCTGCGAAATATTTCAAACTGGTATAAGCTAACAAAATTAAGGAATATCATCGAATTATAAATGAAGCTGTTAAATTTGCTAACGGATCACCTAGAAGAACATTTATCTTCGGTAGAACGTCTTATAGAATATCTCGGTGAACATACTAGATCCCATAAGTATAATTAAATGAAATAATTATTAATAATTATTTGGTGATAGAGAATTGTACTGCGAAATATAGTAAGAAAAATGAAATAGCAGTACGTAGAAAAATAACGATATGAAAGCAAAATGTGTGACTTACTGAATGCAGAGATGAGACTTCTAGTTGCTGACTGATGCATCTAAAAAAAAAAAAAAAAAAGGAATGAAAAACTATTAATTAACGAAAAAAAACCAAGTTTGCTTCTTAAGAATCCCTTACCTTTTAAATATATTAATACATCTGCTCATACAGGATGAATCTGAACAAGGGAAAACTTTACGGGGGATAGAACTCAACCATACAAGCAATATTCGCCATAGAATGTATAACTGGAATGCAAATGGTGAGAAGTTACAAGGTAGTTTTTCACTGAAATATTTAAGGAGACTCATACACCTTAAACCCCTTATGATCTTCGAATATGTGACTGTTGCAAGAATTGAGATATTTTATTTATTTTAAAAGCAATTACTTCCAACTTTTTACACCTGACTACATAATATAGATGCTTTCTGAAATAGTAACCAGAAAGTTTGTGTTGCCACAAATATTTTTGTAATTTAATCGTCTTTGTGATAAAATATTTCGCCATGTTTCCACCTTGCGCGCATTATATTTTAAAATAGCTAACGGTACATACTTGAAACTTGATGGAATTCTTTATATGGGCACTATTTTCTAACTGAACCAACAATCTGATGAATATTTTAATAATGAAAAATTTTACGGACGAAAACATTACAAATTTTGTTAATATAATAGATTTTATAAACTCAACTCAAAATAAAATAAAAATTTAACGTGAAATTTTTATAATTTTAGGTTCACAGTAGTTTCCAAATGTTATAAAAGCTATGTATTAAATATGGAATTAAATCGTGAAACAGAATGTTTTAAACTGTGCGCGCAAGTTGGAAACACGACGAAAAATTTTGTCACAAAGCGGATTAAATTATAAAAATATTTGTCGCAACACAAACTTTCTGATGCCTATTTCAGAAAGCAGCTATATTTTGTAGTCATCTGTAAAAAGTTGGTAGTAATTGCTTTTAAAAGAAATAAGTTATCCCAATTCTTGCAACAGTCACCTATTCGAACATCTTATGGGTTTTAAGGTGTATGAGTCCCCTTAAAGAATCTGCACAAGAGGGAGGTACTTCAGAAAACATTTTATTAACAGGAATGTAATTGATGTAGTATATGTTCAAAGAAATTGCTCGAAAGACCTTTCGCCAGTTGTAAATGCAGGATTCACACTTGCGCAGTAGGGACTGACGCACATTTGCGAAGACACCAGGCATTTCCTGAGTATCGCTGGCAACAACGGCGAACCTGACGACTAGATCCATATTCGTTCCAACAGGGTATTCGTAGATTAGGCTTTTCATATGGCTCCACAGAAAAAAGTTCAAACACAAGAGATCCGGTGATCTTGGCGGCCAAGCTATGGGACCACCTCGATCAATTCATCGCCCTGGAAATTTAGTGGTTCGTATAACCAGCCATCCTTTTGGTAATATTCGGTAGAGAATTGGCAATATTCGGTAGAGCCGTTGGGTGCGAAGACCAATCTTATTCTACCATTTACAATGCCTCCTAGCAGCTAACCTTTTGCGTTCCGCCCAGACTTTATATGACGAATATTGGTTGTATAGCTACGTTATATCAACCCGTAAAGTTTTGTGCCCTTGCTCTGATTCACCTTGTATACACATATACATTATTCCGTGTACATGAAAGCATTAAAACCCAAGGTTCTTCTGAAGGATTCAAGTAATTTGTGTTAAGTTGAATCTGTAATGATCGTTGATCATTAGGCAACTGTATGGACACGCATACTCAGCATTTTACGTACTTTCATGCTATCGCGTATCATACAGGGTCAAATACGCAGCATTCTCACAGACAGATTTAAATATATTATAATTAAAGTCGATATTCACACTGGCTGAACAAAAATTAACACTAATGAGTGAAGTTGATTTTTTATAAGACTACTGGTGATTATTTCACAATTTTAAGAAATTCTTAAATTTAAAATGTAAGCGAAACCTAAGACTACATTTTCTCGCATTTAAAAAACATTCATTAACACATCTGCAAGCTTCAGTATAATTATATCAATGAATGATGATGTCCTGTCTATGGCAATTATATAGCAATTATATAGCTCCGAAGCTGTCAAAGACAGCTTTTGCAGCTCTATCAGTGTAAAGTAGGTCCACCGGGTCTACAACGCCGATGCCGAACAGTCTGGCCTGGATTACTGGGCAGCTGAAGAAGTGATGGCGAGACAGTGGGATGTCATCTGGGCAATGAGGACAAATGTTGGTGTAACTACGCTGTACGTCTGCAGAAATCCTCATTCCTTTCAAGTGATTTGTCCTAAGTCTAGTTATGATTGTCGATATGGCTCTGTCACAGTTCAGTATCAATGAATAATTAATTAATACAATTAATTTTAATTAGCAAATTAGTAATTCATTTACACAAAATACTCACTTGCTCATTTCAAGTAGCCTCTCCACCTCCATCTCGAAGTGAGCTGAGAGTTCTGACAATTGCAGAGAAGTCCCGCAGATAGGACAATATGGTGTCTGTCCATCGAGAAAGTACTTCTTGTGGCCTGAAAAACAGACACATTCTTAGAATTTCTATAAGCTTACAGAATGTAGCTATAGCGAAGTTATCTGGATATGTTTAGAATTTTTATGCGTGAGTTTTCAGCTTGAGAAAAACGTAAAGATGTTTGATGGCAAATGAAATTACAGATAAATAACTTTTTGAATGTAAATAGTGTGTATTTAATTATGGCAAAGCACAAGATGGAGGGGTAACTAACCCTTTATCATTCCAATAAGATTTAACAAAACTCCCGTCTTGGAGTGTACAATCAAAGCCGACACTTGAGCTTGAACTTGAGACTAAAAATTAAACTAAAACTAAGATTAACTAAAGAAATATAGCCGAAGCTATCAAGATTCTAATCGAGTTGGCCCCTTCACTCTATTTGACTACGAAGCTTATCAAGAGCCCGAGTACGGCCGAGCGTAATAATAACAGCTTTGAGAGAGGTTAGGTTAGGTTATTTAATTACGGCAAAGCCTCGATGCCTTTCGTGGAGGACTTTCTAAGGGAAACTGGCTCGTATACACGTGACACATAGGGAAAACCACGAAAACGCCCATGCAGCCAGCCCGTTCGCGGGATTCGAACCTCGGACCGAACTACCAGTATTCAGCGACTTTACCGCTCGGCCGCTGGTGGGCAGAGTGACAGAAAAGTTACTTTAACTCAAAATTAACTATTAGTCAAATAAATAAATTATCACAAAAACCATCACAGATTATTAATAGTTATCACAAAAACTATTAATAATCTGACGTTAAAAAGTGTTTCTTTAAAATCTCGTATAGGAAAAATTTAAATATTTAAGTACTATTGATGTTAATGCATTTGCTTGAAACGATAGCCAGGAATCCACAAAAAGAATAATCAAGAGGTTTTAAAATAAGGCATTAGGTTTAAAATAAACTGTTATTTTACTAATTACAAAACGAAATTTTGAAATACTGTAGCTGTACACTACTGTAATAATTAATGTAAATAATAATATTGCCAGCAATGATGTAATAAATCTGCAATCTCACAAATGTTCCTGTCATTTTCATTAAGGTATTTTTCTGGACAGGATATGACACGTATATTCGAAATGAATGTTCTTTTTGCATTGTGATTTCCTCATCTGGAAGGAATTACTTCGCATTATGCGTTTAATATGTCAATATTATTTAATAAAAAGTTGAATACATGAAAAAACCGAAAAACTAAATATAGATACGGAAAACAAAACAAATGAAACACTGCGATCAAGTAATAGAAATTTTATTATAAAAATTATATTGTTACTGACGTCATAAACTTTAAATGAAATGGCCCAATTTATCAAATTATCTCTATGTCTTTCTCAGAGAACCGTAAATATTTTGGCAACATTTCCTGAGCAGTTCTTACTCAGCAAACGATACTAACTAAATTATCAGGTCTACGATTCTAGTCCTCGCATAAGTTAACAACTCTAATTAAGTACACGCAGTTGTTACTGAGAAAAGATGGTATTCTCATCAACAACAAACTCTAAAAGATGCTGAGATAAATGAGTTTCTTTCTGTTAATTAAGATTAATGATCCAAAACTCGGTGCCATTATATTCCTATGCAGAACACTTCGTTTGCGAACGCTTTGATGGCATATTGTGACTCTCTTTGATTACACATATTTATTGTTCATGAAACATTTTAATATTCGTTACTAATACCCAAATAATGAATGAATGGATATGTTAAAATAAATCTATTCTTTTTACTTCCTTGTACGAAGTAAAAAGGAAGTATTGTAATCGCGAAAAGTTTCAGGCAGTATATTTTAACGAAAATATCCATTTTGACCGCCATCGAACGAACGAAACGAACCTTAAACGAAGGACCATATAATCCGATCCCTAAAAATCCTTCACCTTCGGACTTATCCAAAATAAAAACTGCGATCAAATCTTCGCAAATCATTTCAAGCAACTTAAAACATTCGCTTATCCCATCTGTTGCGAATTGTGCCAGATTATATGCTCTTCCCAAAATTCATAAAAGTGGTATTCCTTTCCGCCCTATTGTATCAAATTTAGGTACTGCCTCTGCCTCGTATCCATTAGCTAAATATTTAGTTTCTAGATTTTCCACTCTATTAGACAATAACATTTACACCATAAAAAATTCAATAGAGTTTGTAAAAAAGGTTAAAAATTTCTCCTCGTAATTTACTCATGGTTTCTTTTGATGTAAAATCATTATTCACCAATGTCCCAGTGGAGGGTGCATTAAGATGTCTAGAAACCAGACTTCGCGAATTTCATTTCTCATTTCTCTTGCATCGAAATTGATGAGCTAATTTCTCTCACTCAACTCTGTTTGAAACAAACACATTTTGTTTTCCAAAATAAATATTACAAGCAAACTGAGGGATTAGCCATGGGAAGCCCCCTCAGTCCCATCCTGGCTGATATCTACATGCATTATTATGAATCAAAATTGTTTGAAACTTTAAACTTCCCGGCATGGTTCCGCTACGTAGACGATACTTTTACCCTGTTTGAAGGTAATAAAGATGATTTAAATAGAGTTCTTTCAACAATGAATTCTATTGATCCTGCTATTCAGTTCACTTTTGAACTTGAGACTTGCAATTCTCTTCCGTTTTCTCGACATTCTGGTCACACGTAACACATCCAACTTCAGTACTACAGTTTTACCGTAAACCTTCATCGGTTTGCCTTCCACCACACTTTAAATCATGTCATCCGACTAAACAAAAGTTAGCTTCATTTTATTCCTATGTTTTCCGTGCTCTTCAAGTTTGCTCCTCCAAACTAGCCCTTGATGAAGAACTAAATTATTTAAAAGCAATAGCTATTGACAGGGGCTTTTCACCCAACATTATTAATCAAGCAGTTAAAAAATTCTCATCTCAACACACTAAAAGCCACACTCTTATTTTAGGAGATTATAAAAATTCTGTTGTCATTCCCTTCTTTCCATCAATTAGCTATAAAGTTGCACATATTTTGCAGAAATTTAACTTTCGGGTTGTTTACTCCCCCATCAATAAAATTCCAACTTCTATACTCAAGGACCCCATTCCGGATATGAATTCCTGGGGTATTTATAGGATTCCTTGCCAGTGGGGTTTAATTTACATTGGCCAAACTAAGAGAGCCTTAAAATTTCGCGTCAAAGAACATGAGGCATATGTTAGAAAAAAGGAAACACAGAAGTCTTCTGTTGCTCAACATTGTTGGTCCGAAAATCACACTTTCAATTTTTCTGCTGCCAAAATTATTCAAAAAACATCTTCCATTGGAGAACTGGATTTTCTAGAGGCATTTCACATTCATAAAAATCTTTCTGTTCTAGTTAACGATCCTAATTCCAATCCAAATTTGCCTTCGGCTTTTAGAGAAATTATGTTTTAGTTCTGGTTTCGCCAACAGATGGCGCCACTTGCTTATTCTTGTCCAGGCTTTCTTATCTTATCTAAACATTATTTCCTATCTTGTTCATTTGCGGTTTTGCAGCTGAAGATGATGGTTCGGTAAAACCATCGAAACTAGTCCTGTGAAAATTTTGTAAATTAACGCTGATTTTTGTTGTTTGACTTCTGAATTTCTCTAAATTGGCAACAAATCCGCGACTCAGCTGCCTCAAATGTAAACAAGAGCAATGGCCACCATCAAATCAGGCTTAGCGGCACTTAAACAACTTTAAAATTGTTGATAATTCTAAAAATATTGCATACTGATTTACTAAAGGCATAAAAACCTTAACCGGAAGATAAAAACAACATAATTCAATCATTTTTAAAAAGCAAAAATGTACAATTTACAAACTATAAAGTAAAGAAACTGAGATCACTGAGTCGGGTAACAGAGTGGATATATATATAAATATATTTATATACGTTTGGTGCGGCCGATTGCAACCAAAATACGAGGTGCACATCTACAAGTTATAGCAGTCCCTATATACAAAATTTCAACGTTCTGAGGCTACTCGTTTTTGAGTTATGCTAGATACGTACGTACGTACATGCGTTCGTACAGACGCCACGAATAATTCTCTTCAGAATTAATTTTAAAGCAGTTTTATAATTTTTTTGGAGGAAACGAGTCTTTTATTCTGTCCTTACGTACAGATATCACGCAAAAACATCGTTAAATTGCATTCGATGGCGGTCAAAATGGATATTTTCGTTAAAATATACTGCCTGAAACTTTTCGCGATTACAATACTTCCTTTTTACTTCGTACAAGGAAGTAAAAAGAATAGATTTATTTTAACATATCCATTCATTCATTATTTGGGTATTAGTAACGAATATTAAAATGTTTCATGAACAATAAATATGTGTAATCAAAGAGAGTCACAATATGCCATCAAAGCGTTCGCAAACGAAGTGTTCTGCATAGGAATATAATGGCACCGAGTTTTGGATCATTAATCTTAATTAACAGAAAGAAACTCATTTATCTCAGCATCTTTTAGAGTTTGTTGTTGATGAGAATACCATCTTTTCTCAGTAACAACTGGGTGTACTTAATGAGAGTTGTTAACTTATGCGAGGACTAGAATCGTAGACCTGATAATTGAGTTAGTATCGTTTGCTGAGTAAGAACTGCTCAGGAAATGTTGCCAAAATATTTACGGTTCTATGAGAAAGACATAGAGATAATTTGATAAATTGGGCCATTTCATTTAAAGTTTATGACGTCAGTAACAATATAATTTATATAATAAAATTTCTATTACTTGATCGCAGTGTTTCATTTGTTTTGTTTTCCGTATCTATATTTAGTTTTTCGGTTTTTTTATGTATTCAACTTTTTATTAAATAATATTGACATATTAAACGCATAATGCGAAGTAATTCCTTCCAGATGAGGAAATCACAATGCAAAAAGAACATTCATTTCGAATATACGTGTCATATCCTGACCAGAAAAATACCTTAATGAAAATGAAAGGAACATTTGTGAGATTGCAGATTTATTACATCATTGCTGGCAATATTATTATT